TGTAGGATTACGCACGCGGAGGTGTGATGCGATATTATATATCGATATATGTAATTATATCATTTTTAAGTGGCAATATAAGTTATATAAAGTTTTACAAATGCCCACATGCCTTTATTCATATGCTGCAAATTAGTATTGGTATCAGTCAAGGATATCGGTGTAGTGTTCACATTCATTAATTAGTGCTGGCCGACGTAAATTCTATAAATAAACAGTTGCAATTGTTTCTTTTACGACTATGTATGTTAATGCCTTTACATAATATTCAAGAAAACTATAATAATATTTGTATGTTTTTTTTTCAGAGTCGTTTTAGTAGAAGCTAAGCCTCTGGTTGTTTACAGGTAAGTTTTCTTATAAGCATTTCTTAAAATTGTTATTATTATATTATTATTATTTCTTATAATTGGTTATAAATGTTAATACTTGGAAAACTCAAAAAACTTTTGGTTTTGTGTTATTTTCCAAAGACTGTATTATAAAATAATTTACCACAGGCGCCATATCCAATTCTCCAATTCTAGTAACTCTTCTCGTGTTTGTACTACCAAATATGCAGAGCTATGCACTCATTAATTCATTCAATATGAGTTCAACTCTTTATCGACGAATCGTATAACCAAATTCCAAAATATTAATCTGGTATCATGTTCCCAAATGCGATGCTTTCAATTAGTCCCTCAATTCTGACCTCTGTACATAGATACAATAAATATCTCCATGGATGACAGGGCTCCCATGTGTTAACCTTCAAATGCAGTATGCCTTTTGTCTTATTAGAACTGTCACTTGTGTCCCATGATATAAATATATACGCAGCAGTACGTACGGTAAATCTAAGGATATTTTCACACGATTGCTTTATAAATGATATTCAAAAATGAAATTTATGGGGAATATTTCATATTCAAATATGATTGACAAGAAGCTCGAAGACATTTATCACTCGAACCTTTTTGATTTCTTTAATGCTTTTGGGACATGCATTATATGATTGACCGTTTTAACACTCGATATTCAATATGGGCTCCTTTAAAAGTAATTGGCTAAAATGACTGGACTTGAATCAGAGGTCCCGGAAAAACTAAAGAGTTGTTTTGTATTTTATTATTCTAATTTTATTTTTGAAAGAGTATTATTATTTTACAACACGCACCATATCATGTGATTGTCTTTATTTTGGAAGTAAGGCTATTTGAAAAAAACATTTTTTTTTTAAATATGTAGATATACTTGTGCAATAAAATAAAATAGTAAGAAATTCCCGCTTCGAGAAGCCTGATGTTAATCAGTAGTAACATTGGTTTTTACTTGGAAATATCGATAGCAGTAAAAATAGCCTTCACCCGGCATTGCTGCATCAATAAAAAATTGATCATTATTAAAGAAACTATAATAGATCATCACATAGAGATGCGAAAACTGTTTGGAATTATAAAATGTCGACGTAGGTAATAATTATTATTAGTAGTAAAAAAAATGTCATCATTACAGACAGTGGCGGCGCTAGACCATTCGTGGGCGTCGGCGAATTTCGTTTGCGAGGCCCCCCTTTTTTGCTAGTTGCAAGTTGCTAGTGGTACATGGCATCGTGCCTAAAGGCAAATTGCTGAAACTTTTCGTGCCGTAATTTAAATTTTTGAAAAGCTTTGAAAAAATTTGAAAAGTGAAAGAAATTGACTTTTTTTAATTTGAAATATTTTGTTGAAAATTTCGAACTTTTTTTCAAAGCAATCACGTTGCGTTAGCTGCTTAGACACGAAATATCGAAGCGCGTAAGCGCCGCGTTGCAGTCTAACTTAACTCACTATTAATTAAAATCTTTATAAAATATCTGATAATTTGATGTGCATATGCCAAATGGCTTTTGTTGTGCTTTTCTACTGGATTTCCAAAACCGCTAGACCTGCCTTCCTAAAAATGTAATCAGTTTGGCACTTTTTGTCCCGTATCTTCAAAACGGCTTATCCTGCCTTTGTTAAAACCTTATCAGCACGTCTTCTTACCTTCAATACATGTCAAATGTTTTCTGAATTTTTCAAATTGGTTGACCCATGTTCGCGAAATCGTCGACGAAAATTTGCCAAAATGTTCAGAAATCTTTGAAGATATATAAAAATTTTTGTTTTAGATTTTTTTTGCGATTACTATAACTGTATATGAGATTTATTTTTAATCAGATAAATACACCAATTGAAATAGACAAAAATTACACAAGTTAAAACAAACTCTTCGGCAAAAATGGTTTGTTCTCCAGCTATTAGAAAATCACTAAAACTAATAATTATCGCGAAAAAGTTTCCTTTTGCCCAACCATTAGCAAATTTTATGTTTTTTCGATCATTATGAATAAAAAATGGTTGAAAATCACCGACTTAATAACTAATTAGATAAAATTTTGCAATCTGCAAGTAATTAATTAGATTTAAAAAATCTATGTTCATACTAATTTGAGTGCACAAATCCGAACATCACATAGTAGGTAGACATGGTCTAAAAGCTCGTCATTAATCATTTATCGTAGTTCCATAAAATTTATGTTAGATGATACTAACAAGTTTTTTTTGAAAAAATATTTTTACAATAAATTACGAAGAAACTGTGCGGTCGATCTTGACGAAAAACAATTCAGCACGATCGCGAACTGAAAACTTTCGATCAGTTTTTGAATGTTTAAAATTGGTTCAAAAATGTCAAAATGTCGTTTTTTAAGACGCTTTAATTTTTTGTCGACGACATCAGAGCGGATCAACCGATTTAAAGGATTTAAAAAAAACATTCGATTCGTGTTGATAAATTGTCAAAGGCAGATTTAGCGGTTTCGGAGATACAAAAAAAGTTTAAAAGGTTATCAATTTTATTTGAAAGAACTGATCATCCCGATAGAATGTTTAAAAAAATATATTGCTTGTGTTGACGGTGTGAAACAATGATTAGTTTCAAATTAACAGTTTTTGTTATTATCTCATTGTTATTTCTCATTGATCAATTTTTATTGATCATTGATTACTTTTATTCCTCGAATATTTAATTACTGTTTCGATACGTTAAGATTCCCACTCGTATGTATTTCCAAAAAGAACGATGATTTACATAGTGCTCACATAAGAAGTACACAAATATAAGCAATCAGAGAATTAGCTTGCGCGAAGTTATTTAGATTTAATAATCTATAGTGTTGACAGACGATGTTAGATAATGTCCATAAAAGATAAAAGAGTAAAATGATAGTGCCTGTAAACCACTAATCACCTTCTTTACTCGCACATCCGTATGAAAATTAACTAAATTTTAAATAATTAAAATTTTTCCGGGGCCTCTTGCGAGGCCCCCCCAGGCGCGAGGCCGTCGGCGGCCGCCGACACCGCCGACGCCTAGCGCCGCTACTGATTACAGATCAGAATCTTCATGGTTCTATAATCGCTGTTACGACAATACAACAATAAAAAATCAATAGATTATGTGATTTATTCTAATGAATTCCTGAATATTTCTACAAACAATTTTTTGAAATCTGAGGATTTAAAAATTTATTTACAATTTTATGGCCGCCATGTTGAGAATTTTTATCTTACTTATTATTTTGTTAGTTAATGTAATTGGAAGAGGTTTAAACATTTTAGAAAATGATATTATTTATTCTAAAGTAGGTAGTAAAAAAGAATTAATGCACCCTTGAAAAATTGATTCAAGTCTTGTTAATAAATATATATTTAATAATTAATTCTTTTTTACTATCTACCTTAAAAAAATATCATTTTCTAACATGTTTAAACCTCTTTAAATTATATTAACTAACAGAATAATAAGTATGATAAATTCTAAACATTGCCAAATATTGTGAAAAAAGTTTTAGAACCTTAAATTTCATAAATTGTCTGTAGAAATACTCTTGGTATGATTCGCGAATTAGTATGATTCCGAAGTTGATTTCTAATTCTCATTTGCGGAAATTAATTTCTTCTGATTGGGGATTAAGCATCCAACAGCAAAAAATACAAATTTTTATTAAAGTTTTCTCACAATTATTTAAAGCACTTTATAAAATTAAGGCTTCATCCAGAGTTCTAAATTGGATATTGAACTGATTAACTACAATACCAGACGTTTCTACAAAATTTCTACCAAATACGTATAACTGATACATCGTAATCCGAGTCGAAAGGGTTAACCCTTACTATAATGAATATTTATTTGGGTTTATAAAACCTCTTTAAATAAAATATATTCAGATGAAGGTAAGGTAAGGTAAGCTTTGTAAGTCTTTTTTCTTTCTCATGGGGGTTTGGAAGGCGGGGTTAGCACTATGCTTCGTATTTATACATGCTCGGGTTTGACCTACGTTTTGGGCAACCCGATATCAAGCAGTAGTGATAATAAAGTATATTTCCAAGTGAAAATAGTAGTAATAAGTATTTAATAAACATTATTAGATAAATTCTAATAATAATGATGATGATATCCATACAATTAAAAAACTAATTTCGAGCACAACAGTTTTGATTGTAGCAGAAATGAGATAAAAAAAATCTTTCCTGAGATGGACTATGGACTATAATTCGAATTGTTTATTAAGAATGTGTGAAAAGAGCTTTTGAAATGCCCCACCCCACGCACATCTATCGGATCTATAATAGAGTGTAGGCTAGTTTTAATAATACGACACATCTCACATCAGAATCAGATAAAGACGCACATGTATGATGATTTCAGTTCTGAACACGACAGCCGAACGAACCGGCGATTATAGCGGGCGATTGCGTGAATAAAATATATTCAAAAAAAGTTTTGAATTCATAAAGATACATTAAGAGACACGGAAACTCGCGATATGTCGGCAAGATTATTTATAAAACCCTTATTTATTGATCCATGATCCAAAACAAGAAAATGCTAAATTGAATTGGTGCAAAAAGTACCTCTTGATGGTCTTTTATCCTTTTTTTATTTAACAGTGTAGAAACATTATCCCACTTACTTACTTTAATTAAAAGTGTTTTGACATCCAAATATCAACTTTCCTGTCACCTCGACAAGATCTAGAACGGGTTAATAACTTGTATTAGGCAATGTGATTAGAATAAAACAGTATGTAATTAGAAGTAGATTAGATATAATTTTAAATCAAATGTCTATGGATCGATTATGAATGATTTATTGGCAATCTCTGAGAGGTATTTTGAATTAAAATTCTTTTGTTGTTATAAACCGCTCTGTCATCGATTGTATGATGTAGTTAATAGATTGTTTAATATATCAGATTATTTATCACTTCAGTTAACAATGTAACAATATATTATGATAGATCAACAACATTTCGTTTAAAATATTCTTTAAAATAAGGATTTAGAAATAGATATTAGATGCGCTATAATTAATTTCTTAAATTAAACATTTGTTTTACAAAATGCTAATGTTTTTTATATATAAATTATTTTTCATTGCCATTTGACACCGCAGTGCCCGAATTTCAATTGGAAACATATTTTTGATGTGCTTTTATTTAGCAGATAATTAATTCACTAAATGAACGTTGTCTCAATATTAAAATTCATATCCAAAACTGCATCACGTTTTTCAAAAATTAAGCTCCTTTCATTAACGTGCTACAAATTTAAGCAAAACTGAATATATATTCATTAGTATATATGTATATTTAGTTTCTCAGAAAATGCATATTTCAATTCATTCATACTATGTCTGAAAAATATTACCGCAATAATCAGGTCAGTGCAATGTCCCGTCGAATTCTATTTAAAACGTTTCGTCTAACTAAATTTAGCTCTCGAGCGTATCGGCGGAATGAAAATAATTCTATTACATTTGCTCTACGTATTTTTCTCTCGTATTTAATTTTAACAAATTTAAAAATTACATGAATGACGATAATATATTTTTAATAAGATGTTTGGCAAATATAAATAATACTATGCTTAACTGAGTCACAATGGGTCGCTCGTTACTATTCAATGGTCATTGAAACCACTTTTTTGTGAATTATGTTTCATCACTTAATGACATATACACATGAGCACGCTTACAGTCTTGTTTATATAAAACAAATATAAATGACGAATGTTTTTTTATATATCTGGAAGGTCTTTTCGTTGACCATTTCGCCAATGTTTGGATATGGTTTAGTATTTCACATGTTATATTCTTAAGCAATAAACTTAGATATTCTTTCAGTTTTCTGAAGTTCTGAAATTTAACTTTATAATTGATATACCTGATAAACCAACTTTTTTCTTGAGGGCTATTCTTACTTGAAAACATATTATCAATCCATATTTACCATTATATCAGAAATATTTAGCCAACTCACATGCATTGAAATAAAGTCCCACAAGCTGTAATATTGTAGATGAATAATATATTGAATAGATTAATAATACTGAGGTATTAAGGTACAGGAAGTTCCAGCTATTTGTCTCAAGGTACGATGCCATGCACCACTAGTTTTAATGGATACTGCGTTGCGCAAACTACAAGTTGCGGATTCAAATCTTGCGTCACATATACCCTGATACGAAGCTGAAGTGATATCCCTTTTCATTTGGTAATGGCAATCGAAATATGTTTTCAAATAGCAATAGGGACATTGCTTCAATATCACAGATAGTGAGGATAACCTTTTGATTGCCTTTCAATAGCGTTCAGAGTGAAGAAAATGTATATCTCATTAATGAGGACTATAATCGGATTGCTTTGTAAAAAATTTATAATTATACTATAAACTACTGGGGCGCATGGCATCTAGCCTTAAGGCAAATTGCTGGAACTTTCCGTACCAAATATTATTATTTTTTATAAGAACGATTAACATTTTTGAAAAAAAAATACTTCGAAAAAATTAGATTTTTGAGAAACTAGGAATTTGACAAAAAAATACTTTTTTTGAAAATTTTACTTTTGGAAAAAAATTTTCTTTATTTTGATATATTTTGGAAATTCCGAACATTTTTTCAAAGCAATCGTACTGCTTTAACTGCATAGAGACAAAATGTCAAAGCGCGTAAGCGCCGCGTCGCCGTATAAAATAAGATAAAAATTGCATTAAATATTTCAACTTATCACACACAAAAAAATTGTTAATCAAAATCTCAAAATTATTAATAATTTGGACCTTACTAACACTGATCATTTGACCTATAAAAAATCGTAATACAAATAATCCGTAATAGGTAACACTTATTCATAATTTTATTATTGCACAATCGAAGGGTCTAATTATAATTAATACAAAAAAGTATCTTTATTCTATTGTACGACTTAATTCGAAGATATCATTTCGCGTCCCTGAGACTGGTAATAAAAACAAATGTAATTTGTTCAAGTACGAACCTACCTGGTGTGCGTATTACTAATAGGACTTTTGAAATATATTCATATATTTTGTATTGTTCAGAAAAATAATTTGTTCGGTTAATTACATTTAAGGCTTTGTGCAGAGACATGCCCAGACCATTTAGTTCAAATGAATTGTAAACTGAGTATAGATTTCTACATGACCAATTATTTCTCTTTGAAGATTACTTATTGTGAAATATATATCTTGCACAGACAGATGAGTCGTAAAATAAATTTACATCTTACAAAGTAAAGATATTGATATATACTTGAAAATAATGTAAAACAATAATATTAATACATCAAGCCTATATTTTAATAAATATTTATGCAAATCTATTTTGTAGCATACTTTATTTAATTATGCAATATGTTAAATTGAGAATCCAATTTTTGCTTTACCATTAATAAAAGCTACAAGACGACAGCTAACAAACTCTTCACGTAAAATTTATAATTTATGTAAAGGTTCTTTTGTCAAGCTGCAGTTTATGGATTCCATGTTAAGATAATAAAAGTATGTGTGTGTTTAACCATTTTCCGCATTCTTTGAGCTAGAGCAAAATGTCGTTAATCTGTTTTATAGTTAGCTTTTTACAAAAGTTGATGGCCTTAGTAAAGCAGAATTATTACACCATGTTTACTGAATTTGAACAAACATTTATTTATTTTTTTAAATTTTTTTATTACTATTTAGAAACCAAAATATCAAGAATAATATTTAGCATAGGTAATTAATTATTCTTTTCCTGAAATGTAACAGAATGGATTTATTTTATTAGATGGTCTTTTATTACACACATGAGCAGTCATAAAATTAGCAAAGATGTCGTTATTCACATCATTTTTATTAGCATCAGAAGATTTGTATTAAAATTTATAGAGAAGCTTATGATAAATTTATGTGGCATCGAATTATGTTTTCAAATTTTTGTTCAAGAATATTGTCCACTTGAAAAATCGGTGGTTCCATACTAACCTACAAGACAAATCATTAAATATTCTAGATAATATGCTATATTGTAATTGCTAGATCAGAATCTAAGCAATATTGTAATGAATTTGTTCAATAGGTAATTTTTCGAATAAAGTATTTTGAATAAATTTTTTACATAATATTTTGATCTGAAACAGTTTTTTAACTTCCTGTAGATTAAGTTATAGCAATCGTCTAAAATCGAAAATGAAAATGTTTGCATATCTTTACGTTTCAAGATCTCCTGAATATTTTGGCATACCTTAAAAAAAGTGAATGTTTAGTGTGGATACAATTTTTCATCAATGATTTCGGGCGCACGAATCAACCGATATGGATTATTCTAAAAACTTCGATTCTTCTGTTGGAGAAACGTGCTGAATAGATTTTGGCAAAGGCAGGTCTAGCCGTTTCGATAAAAAATACAAAAAAATTAAGCCCTTAAAAATTTAAAATTGTGGTACGTTCCAGCAATGTTGCCTTAAGACACGATGCCACTAGTTATTCTTTGGATAGTGCTTTTGCAACATTTATTTCTATATCAAAGAATAGAAAAGTGTGATAACTGCATGCTCGACATAACCAAATGTTTCAATGACTAATAACGACGTGTAGTACCTTCTTAATAATTTATGGGAAACAAAAAAAAGGTTTCGTAATGATTGACATTAATAGAGACCTCTAGATCAGTATGTATCTATTAGTTCCTTTTTACTACTCACTTGTCAGATAATTCTATGTTCTCGTAACCAAGTTTTATTTCTTTTCTCGTAAGGCGCGCCGGGTGAGGACAAAAACGAAATCGCTTCGAGTTAATAAAATCGAGTGGAGTGGTTATTTTCACGTTTTATTACATATAATATGCGGCGACTGAATAAGATTTTAATAGTCCATAAACAATTTTATGTAGATACTAGCTTATGCATCGTTTTATGGCAACCTGAAACGTATTTCTTCATTGAAGGGCTTCGAACCATTTAGTAATTGGTACACAAGTTCCAAAATTGAGCAATTTATACAAATAATAGTTTATGTTTCAACAAAAACGTTTTGATTGAACAAAATTTACTAAAATATACGTTGCAGTAAACTTCCAGTAGCAAGCTAATTCTGCCGAGTATATGTTTTAAATTTACGAGCTTTTCTTTTCTGTGGCGAATGCACTTGCAAGTTAGAGTATCTTTAATATAATCTATGGTCATAAAGCTCTTAAATGTGGTAAAAATCGGCGGAGAAAATTACACCTCATATCCTAAAATACATCTTAATTGAATGTAGAACTACCAGCTGGTACATCTTTAAGTTTATGTTTACCATTATACTTTAATCTTTATAAATGCTGAAAATAAATCGGCGTGTACTGAGATAATGTTTGCCAAGCAGCACACGATAATAAAACTAGTGAAAACTTGTAAAATAGAACTATTTTTTCAGAAAATTATTTGAGTTAAATAAATGTCTGCCAAACGGGAATGACCGCATTCTGTCTCTAGAATAACATAAACAGAAATATTTTATATGCACAGATGTAGTTTGAGAAATATTTGTACATATATATATATATATATATATATATATATATATATATATTTATATTAGTCAACAAACATAAATGCTCTATGTGAAATAATTGTTCTTGTTGATTTTATTGAATATTCAAGCTGTTTTTAATATTTAAAATATATCATTAAGCAGACTGGTCATTTGCCTATATGCATTATTTCTTATTAAGCCGCATCACTTTTAATGCTTTTTGAATTAT